TAAATCCTAAAAACCCTTCAAAGGAATGTAAAAAGGACAACCGTATATATTTTTTTTAAAATTATTTTTTGAATGGAGAGTGTTGAATCCAAGAGGATAGATCCTAAAAACCTTTGAAGGAATTACTCACACAGTTAAATATGCCCGGGCCCAATGAAGTTAGAATTTAAGTGTTCTTTAAGTGTATAGTATAGATTTTCATTAGAAATAATTCTCCACATATAATTTTATTACGGGACAAATTCTTTTCAGGACAGGTAATATAATTGTTGACACATATTAATTAACCTTAACTACCAAAGGGTAAAAATTGCCTGGGAGTTGGAGTCAAAGATTCTGAGTCGAAGTCAGCCAGTACGAGTTTAATAATGCTCTGGCCCATACGGTGGGTCTTCCAACAGGTTTTCCTTATAGCATCTGAAAAGAAAAGTGAGGAAAACAATTAAGTCGTTTAAATGAGTGATAATTGTTAAAGAATATGTACGTTATGATGTATTTGACTTCCCGACAGATAACGTTGAATGGGGGCCTACAATCTGGGTTGTCCTCCCAGCATGATTTCATGAGAAGAATCAAATTCTCATGACAGTTGGTCTCATCCACGACCGGTCTGAATGGAGGAATTTCCCTGTCAGCCACGCGTTTTAAAATATCTTTGGAAAAAAAGTAGTATTACAAATTAAGATATTCCAGGATCATTCTATATGACTATACCGTAAATACATAGATTTTCATATTGTAATGTGACAAAAAAAGGACCGGCTCTCAAAATAATCTCCTCAAGGATTATAGCGAAACTGTAGACGTCGCCTTTTTGCGTTGCCGGAATTCCTGGTACGACGGTTAATGGAAGTAGTTCAGGAGCAACCCATAAAAGTTCTGGAATCATCATAAGTTAAATTTTTAAAATTGTAATTAATACTTATATTTATGTAAGCATAATTAAAGTTTGAATACGTATGTCTTCAGTAATTAAATAAAATTAGTTTTAAAAACAGGAGGAAAATTATCACAGGAAACCACTCAAATGTATGAGCTCCAACAACTCATTTACACCTTCAACAAGACAACGCTTATTAACTCTGAATTAATCTCGAATATTGGATTAACGCTTTCATTACACATTATAATTATTTTTCTTATCATATGGCTAACTGTATCTCTAATTTGGTGCTATGTAATGTGAATTGAATATGCAAAAAAAGCTAAAAGAGCAACTAAATGGTGTAAATTAAATGTAAAAGGCAGAATAAAATGTATGAATGGATTTACTATGATAGTGATTTATATCCTCAGAGATATCGTCTGGTATCATTAGAGTGGTCAGACCGAAATCGCAGATCTTCAATACAAAGTCGCCATCGATTAAGCAATTGTGGGAATTCAGTTTTCCATGAACGGACACCTCGCTGTTGTGCAGGTATTTCATCCCCTTGAAAGAGATAGTTGTTCAATAGGTCAAATGGTTATATAATGGGTTTTCTTGCTCACTTTCGCAATATTCTCGATCAGCGACAACTTGTTTTTCCAGTTCAGGTTGATTTCATTATTATCAAGAACATCCCGCAAACTACCCCTGGGACAGTATTCGGTGATGATCAGTATTCCCGGATTCTCGATACACGCACCTAAGAATCGAATGGTATTCTTGTGTCCAATATTTATGACCTTAATAAAACGAAGAAGAAAACAGACGACACATAAATAATTGAAGAAATAACATGAAGAAATTTAATATATTGATGGACAAGTATTTTGCACATATTCTATTACGTACTTGCTTGATTTCACTGAGAAGTTTCTTGTTAATGTCCATGTTTTTCTTGACGATTTTCTTAATGAATACGCGAGTGCCTTTATACATTCCTAAAGGTGTCGACTGCAGCGAGTTGATGAATGAAGCAGAAGGTCTGCTGCTGGATACATCCAACGACTAGCAAAAGTAAATGTTATAATTAAACTTATTTATTTTTTTACACATTACTTGAATTAAGCTTGGAATTTCTGGTTCGTAGTCGTATAGTATCCCTAACTCAAACATCATCTCATCGGGTCGTACGCGCCACTGCATGATGTTTTGGTCCGTAGGTACTTCTCGTGCACACCTAACATAAATTGCATTACCTTGATTTATGTAGAAAAATTGTAAACATTTTTTATTATAATTATATATATATATTCCAATATTACATTATGATTGAACGATGTTATTGCGAATTTATGTATTTTAATATTATATAATAAGAAATTAGAAAAAAGTAATAATTATGACTAGTTAAACAATTGTATAACTACTTACATAATGCGAACACAAGCAAGAAAACCTCTGAGAATGAAGATCAATAATAAAGCGACAATTCCATATATAATAATTTTTCTTTTTTCTTTTGAGGTGCGGCAGAGACATAAAGAGTAAAATTAATTAGCAACTGTAAAAAAGCAACTGTAGTTGAAATTAATCGAAAATAATTTAATATTTAAAATAGAATATGAAGTAATTTAATCTGTATTGTGATTAATGTATGATGTCTTACCATCCAAAAATCCAGGTTCGGGAATATCCGGAGGAGGGTCTTCCCGTCCTTCAGGCCAATAGATCTTCTGCTCGGGCACCGGCAAATACTCTTTGTGCAAATCGTAGTAATGAGCGACTGCGTAAAATTTCCCAGTCTTTGGGTCCAGAACCTGTATGGAGTAATCCGCAACTCTATCTCCGTTGTGGTCGAACGTGACGTAACCGCTAATTCCTAAATAAAATAAAGTATATTTTTTAAATCACACTTGCTTTTGAATGTATTGTTAAAAAAAAATGAATTTGTACCGTGAAAATCACGACCCCACATCAATTTGGTTATGGCCAGACCGTCTCTGATGTTTCCACCCATAGAAATCGTCTCGTTCAAAGCCATACCAAGCAAGTAAACACCGTCATAAAA